CTGCAACTTGCGCTACGAATTCAGTCACCCTCCCCTTCTACGGCCCCTTATCGTATCTTATCAAGTGTTATCACCTCCTGACACCCACCAAAAGTGTTCCCGTCCTGCCATGTCTGCATCGACTGCTGTGGAAACTGGTCAGTTCCTATACTTTTCTTGCGAAACGCTGCGGTAATGAAGTTCGTGACACACACAACACACAACACCACACGTCACAAACACACACACACAGGACAACCACACACAGACACACATAGCCGGATACATATAGTTTATGTGATAACTTTAATCAATAACCTTCTTTCAAAACGCTAGTTAGATCTTTCCATCGTTGAATCGCGGAACTACTGTCTTTAATCCTCACAATAAGAAAGACATTTGCGTCTAGAGGGTGTCCAAAACAACTTCACTCGTAAGCTGATGCTTCGCTGCTTTCATTATTGAACTACTCTGGATATAGCCGCTTGGAAGGACGATGCAAAACACTTAGTTTGAAATTTCTAGAATGTAGAAGGAAAAGATCTGATCTTCTCATGGCTTATAAAATTCTGCATGGCTTGACTACAATGGATGCTTCTAAATTTTTTGTTATTGTTCATTCTAATACTAGGGGAACATCGGCTAACCAGGAAAGGTCAACAGGTCAGCCTGGCCATTTGCAATGAGATGCACATCGTTGTACCCGTCTTGAGACGGTGAACTCAAAACTATCTTCAAAATTTGCGGAAACGTTCTCTGAGCGGAGTTGATGAGGTTTTTGCTTTTTCTGTTTTGTCTTCTTTACCGGCGCGGTGGCGCCGGAAGGTTGCACAGTGTATGCGCGACTTTACGCGCTCTTCGCGCAGAACAAGTATCATATTCGTGTTCAGCGGGTCAAATACCTCTAGGGACGTCACCTTAGCGAAATCTGAGATTGTGACTCAACTTCGAAAAAATGGGGTGTGGATAGTCATGGCTGACTGATAGCTAACAGCGATACTATGACTAGCATACTGGCGGATTGGTCTTCCACCTAAAATAGCTCTTCAGTCACGTCTTTTCGCAAACAACAGTACCTGACTTATTCTGCATCATTTTCTTGACTATCTGGAGGAAATCCCATTCCGAGCACTCACGATGGTAGCGTGAGCTCCAACCTGTTGCTGTTACCCATGGAATAGCTCACATTTTCCAAGTGAGGTCGAAATATCAGATTCGGCTAGAAACTTGTCCCCAGGGGTAATTTAACCCGCTGAACATGAATATGATGGTATTTCATTGCAAAAACCCTTGTGACACGTGTTACGAGGGGTACAAGCAGAACACTCTTTCAGGCCACAATGGGTCTACACTTTCAAAAGAAAATATGATGCGCGAGGTTCCCTTATAAGTAGAACAGGTGCCAGAGAATGTTAGGAAACGTTGAGCATATGTCTTGCGACAAATGCCGACAAATAAGCGATCTGCCCGGAACCGATCCTGCGAGGCAGTCGTATCTCGCCTGAGAAACCCGCCCCTACGCCGTTACGCTCCCACCGTACCACGCGTTCAGCAATGACTCCAATAAGCATAAATGTAAAGAACGCTTCCTCCACGTTTCTGCAGATTAGCATGTAAACGGACACGCGGCGGATAAGATCTCCATAACTCCGATCCAGAGAATTCGTTCCGCAAATCTGAAGGTAGATTTTCACTGTCCCAAGACGCGCACAACGGTGTGCAGCTCATTGAAAATGGCCAGGCTGACCTGTTGACCTACTGGTAAGCTTTCGAAGCGCTCGTATAGGTCTGAACCAGACGCTGTAGTTTTCTGCCAACAGAGTTCGTATCTAGCGCTACAATTTCTTCTTTACGCCGCAATCTGCATTCCATAAAACCTCAGTTTGTTTGTGTATGTTCGTTGTTTGTTTACCTTTTTCAAGGTTCACATGCATCGTATGTTGCGTGTCCGTATGAAGATGAATAAATAAATAAATAAACGCAATCTTTTGCAAGATTGAAAACTTCACCAAAACGCCCAATATTTCCTCTTTCCATCAAACTTTACATTTTTCCTAGAGACCCAATAGTTTAGAAGATATTTTAGATGGGTCACCCTTGGACGACATTCTGAACGCAGCTCAAAACCTCGACTCCATCTGCTTGCCGTTTGTAAGGATACTCAGTCGGGAACCTCAATTATGCAAACAGAAATATTAACGTTAAAGTTATCAAAGCAGATCTGGTTTTCACAGATCGATTGACTGGAGTGAGCGCATTCGCATAACGCTTCTACGGCAGACGTGATGAAGGTGATTTTGAAGTGGACAGCAGGTGTCGATGCAGCAGATGTTTGTTGAGGTGTTCGGAAAGAGGCAATACGCACGAATGTGATCCCTGATGATCGAAGGGTAGGCGGGTGGCTGACCAGGTATAATCAGGCGTACTTGAATTATCAAACGCGGCCGCCTGGATTTTCCGTGAGATTTTTTGCCTTTTGAAGCGTCGTAATCATGTCTATCTGTATACAGAACAAGATAGCAGTTGTGCCGAATTGGAGTATTCCCTGAGAAACCTGTCCTATGCCATGCTCAAAAAGCCACGCCTACTCCGTCTCAGGGATAAGGAGTGTATTTTTCTAATTACGAATCACATGTTTTATTAGGTTGTCCGGAAAGTTCTTAGCGTTTTGGGTGTTTAACTTTAAACGATCATAACTTTCTTAACACTCATCGGATTTAATCCAAATAAGCACCATTCGAATCAGCACACTTTTGCCAATGTGGCAGCAGTCGAGAAATCCCATCAAGAAAAAACTGGGTGGTCGAGAATTCCACGAAATCTGCGAAGGTCTTTTTTGCAACGACCAAAACCTGCGTACCTTTAGTTTTGCATGACCGGTATGTTCCCAGCAAAGGAAGTTCTGGAAAATGTTGAAAGGGAATATGGTCCAATGCGCTCTCGTGGAAGTCTGGAGAATATGCGCGTTGAGGCGTAGGAACTGTCCAACCCCCAATTCGTTCAATTTATGGATAGTGATTTGTGAAACGTGTGGACGGGCGTTGTCATGCAAAGGAATCGGACCCTTTCTTTTGATAAAGATGTAGGCTGCATCTGACAAAATTTTCGGTACATTTCGTCGATTCCTTCACAGTAGGGTTCTGCTGTGATGGTTTGGCCTGGTGATGAAAAGTTATAGTGGATTACAACAGCCGATGACCACCAAACCTGACCAGAATTTTTTTTCGCGAGGGTTCGGCTTTGAAAATTACCTCGGTGGTTCCTCCAAATCCAACCACTGTCCGGAAACCGTCTTTGCCGTGTATATTAACACATGATCCATTTTTCATCACAGGTGACAAATCCGTTCAAAAACGGGTCAATTCTTTTGCGCAAAAGCAGTGAAGAAGGAACCTCGAGACGTGCCGATTCCTGCCGGTCACTCCGATTGTGGGGCACCCAATTGTCGAGTTTTTTCACCTTCCCAATGCGTTCCAGACCATCTGCAACAGTTCGCATTTGCGCCAAGGGCCCTAGCTCTTGCTGCTGATCTTCTCGGCAATCGTGTTGGGATGCCCGACCGTCAGCCTTCAAAATCCCCTTTCAATCATCGGCTCAGATAGTGTGCTCTGATATGGGGTCGAGCCGCTATGAGGGCTCACCCTTCGAAGGCGAATTCGTCCAGAACGAAAAATTGTTGACATTGCCCGCACAGTGCTGAGTCTCTAGCACTATTGGGCCCTCACCACCTGGTTAATTATTGAGGCTGTTTCGCATTGCGATGTGTCCCAAATTTATAGATCGCCCAAGAAAGAGAAACTTCCGTGCGAAGTGCCTCTTTTCAGCCCATGCTTGAAAAAATCTTGCGCCAAAAAAAATCTTGAAAAGAGCTACATGGTTGAAACGACAATTGATAACATCAGATAGCGGAACCTCCTAGAAATTGGAAATTCTCTACAGGATGTGCTACTGAGAAGCAAGGCAGAATGAGTTTTTAATCAGCAGTGAATGTACAAAAAATAGGTGCACAAAACGCTGAGAACTTTCCGGACAACCTAATATATTTGTTCTTCTTGAAACCGGGCCTTTGCAGCTTACCGTCCCGCCTCCATCCAAATTTACCGAGACACTTTTGTGCCGTTTATGCTCATCAACAACGTGTCTCACTACCTCCCCCTCCCACACGCGGTGGCCAAGATACGGACCCTCTCTACGCACAACGATGCCGTGTACCCGGTCCGCCGCTAATTTTTCATGAATCAGTAGCGCATCACAACGCGCTCGAACTTCTCTAATCCATTTCATCACAACAAAAACAACTGAGGCGCGAAAGAGAGAAAGAGAGCAAGAGAGAGACGAGAGAGAGGAGAGAGGAGAGAGAGGGGCGGGTTATCGATTTTTGCCGGGAGGGTCAGCACTTCAGCAATTGACACGATGCTTTACTCTCGTCCACACAACGACCGTCAGCAAACAAGGCTGGCTCCTAGCTCCACTGAGATAGTAAAAGCTGTTCATTACCAAACGATTCAGCGTGGAAGGACACGGTCAGTCGTCGCGGCCTGCTCGCAGATATAGCACCCCTTTCAACTAATAGCTGATTACCGTGCACCGGCTCCATGTTACAAAACACAGGAACAGGAAAGGGTTGCTAACTTAGTTGGCTGTGGGCGCGGGGAAGGAGGTGAGAGACTCGGCAGCATTTTTTGTTCCCTTCCGTCAACTTGCTTACGCTAATTATAGGGTTGCTCGATAAGTGTCAGATTCCCTGAGCCCCTTCCTGTCTCGACTCTGGACCCACTCTTGAGCCCTTCAGCTGATATCCAACGTTTTTTTTTCTATTCCACAATCCTACGCCATCACCCGAGTCCATCGCGTACGTGATAAAATCGTAGGGATGTTCCGACGCCGCGACGTGCGCGGGGCGGCAGCTGACCGCTTGGTGCGCGTTCGTTGACGAAGCGCTTCGTCGTTTTGTAGATTTCGTTCTCACTCTACTTTAACCATATTTCCTCCCATTCAGGACTTGTCTGAGAGCTAGATCGATGTTGAAATCTCTAACGCACACCACTATTCGTGTGCTTTCGAGGGGGTGCCCGAATGTGTGGGCGAAACAGCTTCGTGCAGCATCCACTCACTTCGGATACGAACAAGTCGACGAAGATGAAAAAGAAAAGCGAGGTACGATCTTACCAAATAGAATGTGAACTATGAATTTCTTCTTTTGATGATTATGTCCTGTTAGAACGGGTGTGCACCTTCGTAAGCCCATGCGATATAATGTACGTTGTTTATTTATTTATTTATTATAGTGTGCATTTTAAGACTTAAATAATCAAACTAAAGCAAGTTTAGAACATTGGCTGCGCTTACAAATTAAAAGGACAAATAGCTATCAAAAGAAATAAGGAGCTTTTTTGATAATTGGGTTGTAAGAGTCTTTGAATTGTTTGTCACTGTGACACAGTTACGGAGTGGTGAATAGGCGTTTTCTTCGCTATTTGTGGATAATTTTTATTTGTGACTTTGAGTTGCCCACTGTCAACGAGTTTTGAAGCCAAACAAATATATTTCTGCGCTATCCGGTTTGTGGGGTTTGCCCTCCTGCTAGTTCATGTTAACTAATAGGTCTCATTTTGGCAAAACTTGTAAACTCTTGTGAAGGTGTAATATGGTGCAATGAGCCATTTCGGTTGACTAGGCTTCACAAAAAAATTCGTTGAGTACCATTTTGTGCCCACCAAGCCAAACAGTGTCTAAATTTCGTCCATCAAAACGAGAATTTGAGCAAGAGTAGTACCCGTGATCCTTTAGAACATGAGTAGATCTTCACACTTATTTATTTATCTTTCGACCTGCACTGGTAAGTAATCACCACGAGTGATATCGGCGGCAAATTGCGAATCGGCTCCCCTCTTGTCTAGGCCAACCGAGCTAGCCTTATAGCGGAGCGGTGCTAACATATTTCGATGGAAGAGACCATGCGGCGCAAGCTCGAGGAGCAGGTGGGCGCAGTTTGGCGACGGGGGGGGGTAGTTGGTTTACAGGTTTCACTCTGGCGAAACCTGTGAACTCCTTGTGAAGCTGGAGCAAGTCGTCAAGCCATCATGGTAAAACCTGTCAACTCGAAGAGGCTGTCTAGATAGGTCGACACGTCGATGGGAAGTAGCAAAAGTGCAAAATGCCCCTCCATCGCCGACCTGCGCCGGTCAGATGTAGTACAGGTCCGCTAAACTGTTATAAGATGATGCAATGTCTCAAACGCTGATGCGATAGTGCGTCGCATAGCACAATAATAAAAGGACATCGTATTGTATCATTGCCAATGTTACTGACGTGTTGTGTGACGTCTTTGACGCCTCTAACAAGTAACGTACGACTATGTACCTCTGCTATGCTTGTGGAAGTCCAGCATTGACTATTTTCTCTGCTACGAAACATACCATGTGAAAAGCAGCAAAAGTTCCGTTCAAATGTAGCAATTTATGTTTTAGTTCATCACGTTTTTGCGAATGTTGCTAAGAAGTATGACATGATGAATGATGCCATGAGTTTTGGAATTCATCGACTTTGGAAGGACTACTACGTTTATGGTCTACCGCTCAAGCCTGACTCAAAGGTAATGATTATTTACCTTGATTTTATCGATCGCAATTACCAGTTCAATCCACTTTTTCCTTTATCATTTTTTTGAATTCTTTTACTAGTCGTCGATGTTTTTGTCTTCAAGAGGACTAAGCCCTCGCCGTTGATCAGCCTTTTTTGGCATGCGGCAAGTATTCTACTATCATTCAAAATCGTAGTTGCTTTTTGAACGCAATCTGGCTATGCAAAGACTTGCGGGAGCTAGCCCTGTCAGTGTTCTTATCCGTTCCTGACGAACACGGTACCATCCACCGTTCCCGGAGGGTAGAAGAATTGGTTTCCCAGTGGACACAGACTTGACCCCGGGCCACCTCCGTGGTAAGCATGCCACTTACCAGTACACCAGTTACTCCTCGAGTTTATGCTTTCTGTTCTATGTAATTGAAAATTGACACCACTGCCTCCAGAGATTTTTTTGCTGGGCCAACTTTTTATAATAAATAGCATCCTCACAACTCTGTAATGTCGTAGCAGGCCATCAAACTCACTTACGCACTAGCTTTCACATTGTTAGAGGGGGAAGGAGGGGGGGGGAGGTCGGTATGGAACACTCGGCCGCTCCTCTATTACCTCTTTAAAAGAGCTTAGGCGTAAAGCACAGACGACCAGAGTTACCCAAAGATAAACCTGCCCGGGAGATACAGTCTGCTCTAAGCCGCTTTAGAAGTGCTTTAATGAAGGGAAGAGATAGCGAAGGCGCTGACGGAGGGGTCCCCCCCCCCGTTCCAACCGAGTTAGCACCCAATAACCTTTATTTTACTGGTTTCGACTTCACAGGCTTCGAAAATGGGTTTTCCAGCTGCATAGTTCTCATGTTAATAAAACTTCAGTCTAGTCATAGTCTTTACTTCAAATATGAATGCTAACGTTTCAATCTTTTCAAACCATAATTTGAAATCTGCCATTCGATTTTTTCAAGTAATTTTCTGTATTACCTTTCTTTCTGTAAGAGCGTTCCTTTGCTGCAACATTTGCATTCTCTTCTCACGGAATTTTACCTCATTTTAGGTTCTAGACGTGGCAGGAGGGACGGGAGATATTGCCTTTCGTCTGCATAGAAAAATGAAAAGCGGCAAGATTACTGTGGTGGATATCAATCAGAATATGCTCGACGTTGGTAAAGAACGTGCAAATAAAGATCCATCAGTGAGTATTGATCGGCCATTTGTTTAAATTTTCGCTTTTAGACTTGATTTTTTAATTTTATGTCAACTATAGGTTGACCCGAAGAGGTTTGAATGGATTTGTGCAAATGCGGAGAAGCTACCATTCGACGATAATTCTTTTGATGCGTATACTATTTCTTTTGGAATCCGCAACTGCACCCACGTTGACAAGGTGAGTCACCGGTTTATACTTGATTGAGTTTATTTCACTGTACCGTTCTTTTTTACTCACCTTGAGTAAGTCGGCAACGGTAGGAGGCATTGGCGCTGTTCGGCTGGAGGGAGCATTTTGCACTTCCGCTAGTTCCCCTTGCTAGAACATGTTAAGTAACAGGATAACTATAACCTTGGGAAATTGCGAACAGGTGAAACTGGAAGAAGTAAGTCACTTTTGTTAGTGTAAATTACAGGTCTCCATAGGATCGTCTGTACAAGCCTCACTGAGTACAATTAGATACCCCCACCAAGTCGTTTTGCGCCTAAGCATGTTTCGTTCATCTTTTGCTATTCCACCATGAGATCGCAGTCCAATACGTGCTGAAGAACTCTTTGTGGAAAAGTGGCAGTATTGGAAGACTTTCCATATACAAAAAAATTGGTTCGTCTCCACTGAAACCTTTTTCCCCTGGGTTCAGGCGAAGATCTTCATCGCGTCAAGATCTTCATACCATTCTGCACAGTTCCTTCAGTACTTCCTTCTAGCTTACCTGCACCTTTTCCCTTTTCTTTTTTTCATTTTTGTCGTTTTTTTTTTCTTGTTACTCTACTTTTTTTATGCTACAACTATTATTTTATGCTTCATCGATTGCCCTTCTTGTCAGACTGGGGCACGTTCACTGGATGCTAAGTAAAAATATAATCAAACTTGAGTTAGCGGGTTTTCCAGGTAGTGGAAGAAGCCTTCCGCGTTCTAAAACCTGGAGGTATATTCGCTGTGCTCGAGTTCAGCGCCGTTAATCCACTACTTAGACCTATATATGATGCGTACTCCTTCAATGTCATACCCATTATGGGGGAGGTATGTTGTTTTTTTTCAAGGGCTGAACGTTCTCTGGTGAAGTTCATTTACAGGTATTGGCTAGCGACTACAACAGTTACAAATATCTTGTTGAGAGTATCCGCAAATTCCCTGATCAGGTATGGTTGTCCATAGTTTTTAAGTACACTATCTAATTTTTTTCTCATTTTGCTCTTTTTACGCTTGACGTCATATATGCCTTTACTGCCCCAACCATCCAGAATTGAGCCAGTTTTTGACCGACTTTTTTCTCCGTGGACAGATTTGGCTCAAATGTTGTCTCCTGGGTAGTTTGACCTCCTGAATACGAATATCACATTCGCTTAGCCCGAAACTTCCTGGCGCCCGCGCCACAGGCGCCGGTGATTTGGGGTATTTTGGCGCCAGCGCCTGTAGCGCGGGCGCCAGGAGGTTTCGGGCCAAGCGGATGTGATATTCATGTTCAGGAGGTCAAACTACCCCAGGGAACAAATTTTTAGCCAATTCTGCCAACGCAAAAAAGTCGGTCAAAAACTGGCTTGTTTTTGGAAGATTGGGGCAGTAAAGGGTAAATAGTGCCGCCAATGTTACCTTTTTTTGCTCATGTTGAAAACCTCTTTTTTTTCTCCATTTCACGCCAGTACTGTGTCCTCACATTAGTTATCGCATTGTTGTCCTGGTTTAGCACGTCTTTTTGGTGAATCGCAAGCAAAGAAATAAGTTGGACTTTAGCACCCTTGGGCCTTTTAAAGGATCTTAATGCAAATTGGTTCCCCGCAGTGGAGATGGGGACCTTTGCCTAAGATTAATGCAGCAGAGCTCTGGGGTTGGTGGAGCAATTCAAGCGACTGTCCTTCTATTCGCGTGACGTTAGTTCCACTTCTGCACAAGGAGTTCTTTTTATGCCCTGCCGAAGATAATGAGCTTCAACCAGCGGAAAGGGAAATTTCCGCAAAGTAGGACCAGCACTCAGAATTTCCTACTACGACTCCCCTTTCTCATCCCCCACCTAAGTTCGACCAATATCCCTCCATTTTTCTAGAGGTGAGGACGCTTTTCGCCTTAACAAGGGAGGTCTTTGAGGTCGTGGCGCGTTTTTTAAAAATGGTTTGTTGCTTGTTGTAGGGGTCCATGCAAGGTTTACAAAAATGGGTTTCATTTTTGCTATGCGTTTCTGGGGAGGTCAAAAACTGAGTGAAAACAATTTGACGAGAAATCGCGATTTTAACCGTGTTGAATGGGCTCTGTTGTAGCTGTAACTTTGACAGGCTGCGCGTCGCACCTGCCATACACTGAGTCATGCTAAATTGAGGTGTCCCTTCAGTATGTATTAAAAGATAGAAGAAGCAAAGCCAATAAGAAAGTGGACGGAGGGGAGTAATACCGAAGTTACTTGAACGATTCTCGCAACCGCTGTTTCGCGGTCGGCGGATGGCGGAGTGGATAGTGCGGTGGGCTCTCGCGAAGAAGGTTCTTGGATCGGATCCCCTTGGCGACTAACTCTTTGCATTTTTCGGATACTTTATACGTTTTTCGGTTTTGGATTTGCGACACCCATTGTTTGACACACCGTGCAGCAGCCTAGCGCCGACTTGCTGCAAGAGCATTCTTCCACTGAATTGTTGCCAACCCGCACGCAGGGGCTGTTAAGCGCTCATCTCGAGGAGAAAATTTTTGCTGAAAGTCTGTATATAGAGGTTATTAATGGCCCTGATGACGATTCTGACCTTTAAAATTGGCGTCTAGGTCATTTGGCGCCAACATGGCTCTGAACACCCCCCTCACGCCAGCTGCGGGTTGGGATGCTGCGAGAATCTCTTGAGAAACTACAATGCTGCCTCACTATGTGCCAAATAAAGTACTTTTTTACCTTGAATTGTATTGTTTTCGATGCAGTGTCGACGAAGGTCTCATCTGCTATGCATACTTAACATTATGAATAGAAAAAGCCTCGGAAAAATGGTTCAAAATCGCTTCTCCCCAGCAAACTTTGCACTCAGTTTTTGACCTACCCAGAAACGCATAGCAAAAATGAAACCCATTTTTGTGATCCTTATTCGGACCTCTACAACATGCAACAAATCATTTCCGAAAAGCGCGCCACGACCTGAAAGACCTCCCTTGTCGATTAATGCAGCAAAGCTCTGGGGTTGGTGGAGCAATTCAAGCGACTGTCCTTCTATTCGCGTGACGTTAGTTCCACTTCTGCACAAGGAGTTCTTTTTATGCCCTGCCGAAGATAATGAGCTTCAACCAGCGGAAAGGGAAATTTCCGCAAAGTAGGACCAGCGCTCAGAATTTCCTACTACGACTCCCCTTTCTCATCCCCCACCTAAAACTGAAAACCTGACATTCGGTGTGTCTTCCATCCACAAAGGAAGAAAACCTTGGAAAGTATCACATCGTGAATAGGACGATTATTTGTCTCTTACCCTCATGCTTCACATTCTGTTGATGCTTAATATTTTTATTAGGGTGTAATTCAGTGTATCCGAGGACCGGTAAAAAGGGTTACAAGCGGGTAGTTTGCACCACAACCCATTCACTCGAAGTGGTAGTTTTGCGACGCTGTGTGACGCTAGCTAGGAAATACTCTGCGCGTCTCAAATGCCATGAACCACAATTTTTCACTACTATTTTGAGCCTTGAACCCCATATGTCTGACTTCAGTGCACGTTTCCCAACTCTCCTTTCCGGCGTTTTCATTGAATAGAATGCTCATTCTCTAGCTGCTTTTCTCGTTCATAGTTGTGTTGCGCTAGCCGGTTCTATCAGGAGGTGAGTCGCTTGCGGCTCGTTGATATTACATTTTTGTGACTTGAAATAAGTTGCGTTTGCCTCCTGCCACTCGTGTTGTTTAGTGTGTTCTTTTCACTCGTTCCTTTGCTAGATTGAGGGATATAATGCCGCTGAATAAGTGAAGAGATAGTGTTAGATTTGTTATTTTCTTAATAAGTTATCGGTTCACATGTGTTATTTGTTTTCATGGAGCGATTGCGGGTAATATACAATTTGTGTTTCATAGCATATGCTTTTTATTACGATAAACAAAGTTGTTACCATTTCATATAGTGCTGCAGAGCTGGTCAGCAGTTCCTCCAGCTGAGATATTTGAAATCCTTCAGATTCGAAACGCTCATGCTGAGCTTATTTCTTTGTTGAACCTGCAGGATTTTTCAGTATCATGGTGGCGGCTCCTCCTATAAGGCTGCTTTTAGCAGTGCCCCGACGGCCGCTTTCTTTGACGTCCTGCCGGCATATAAGGTTAGTTTCAAGGGTGTTACTTGATTACACATTAGTTTCTAGTACATAAAAGTGTAGAAGCTTTGAACCCTTCAGTGCCTAAATGGTAATTATTGAAGGTACGCCCCGCTATCAAAAATGACGGACTTTCCCTTGTCAAATAGTGATGGCTAGGGTAGTAAGTAACTCAATAGTGAGGAAGAGCATAAAGAACTGACTCGAGTGTCTAATAGGGGATTCTAGGGTGATTTCGGCTTGCACGAGATTAGGGCGAAGAGAGTTCGTGATTAGACGTTCTTATCTTTTATTACCACAGGGTAGCGGACAAGACAATCGTAATTTGTCGCTTCGTCGCTTGCAGCATTTTCCCAATTCGCGTTATGCGTCCATCGGAGCAGCGGACTTTTTGTATTCTGCGACTTCGTAAATATTTATGGCTATTTTTGATTATATATCGTCTACTGTCTCAGTCTGCGACATAGAAAGATCATTGCGGCGCGACGTCGTACGCCCACCAGCGCGGCGAATTATGATTATCTTGTCACATAGCCGTAGCACAGATATAGAAGCTCTGTCCCTTATCGTTTCACCCACATTAGGAATTCAAAGTGGTAGTGGCCGCACAGCCTTGCTATCAGATGACCGATAGAAACGAACGTTGGGCGTGGTACGGGGTAGTGGGCGGAGCCTTGCCTTGGCTGGTGACATAGTTATGACATATTCTTTGGTCGCGATGCATCCTAT